GGTTTTTCCCGGCGCCCCCCGTATGGTGCGCAGTTTTTTGGTTGAGTGTGCCTCCCGGGGATGTGCTCGGGGTTTTGGGGCACCCCAAAATTGGGCTTTCTCCCTGATGAGGTCTTTAGTCTTTGTCCACCAAACCTTTAAAACTGTCCCGGTCCCTTTTTTGCCCCTCCCAATCTTCATGAAATGCATTTTGGGTGATTTAATTTCCCAGAAAACCAGTTACTGGACCCAAAATTCCCCGCCTGGGCCAGGTCTCTTTGCAGTCCTGCCTCCTCCCCAACCGATTTTAAATTTTTCTCCCCAAAATTTACATCATCTCGAATAGGGCACTTCAATCTATTCCTTCCATCCGTCGTTCCCCATATATCAAAAAAGCCCCTGGTCCCAGAACTGACCCCTGTGGGGCCCCGCTGGTCACAGGCGCCCACTGTGATACCTCTTCACGTACCATGACTCGTTGCTGCCTCCCTGTCAGGTATTCCCTGATCCATTGCAGTGCCCTCCCTGTTACATGCGCCTCATCCCCCAGCTTCTGCACTAATCTCTTGTGGGGAACTGTGTCAAAGGCCTTCCTGCAGTCTAGGAAAACGCAATCTACCCACCCCTCTCTCTCGTGTCTTACTTCTGTTACCTTGTCATAAAACTCCAGGAGGTTTGTGATACAAGATTTGCCTTCCATGAACCCATGCTGGTTTTCATTTATAATCTTGTTCCTTTCCAGGTGTTTGACCACTCTCCTCCTGATAATCTTCTCCATGACTTTGCACACAATACATGTCAGAGACACAGGTCTGTAGTTTAGCGCCTCGTTTCTGTTTCCTTTCTTAAATATGGGGACTACATTAGCTGTCTTCCATTTCTAAGGTAGTTGCCCAGTTTCAAGGGATGTGTTGAAGATTGTGGTTAGAGGCACGCACAGCATCTCTGCTCCTTCTCTAAGGACCCATGGGGAGATGTTGTCCGGTCCCATCGCCTTTGAGGTGTCAAGGTCACTTAGGAGCTTCTTCACCTCCTCTTCAGTTGTTCGTATGTCATCCAACACTTGTTGGTATATTCCCTCTTGATGTTCCCTTCTGTGCTGTCTTCCCACAGCCCTTCCTGTCTCTACTGTAAAAACTTCCTTAAATCTCCTGTTCAGCTCCTCACATACCTCCTGATCATTTCTTGTGAGTTCACCACCTTCTGTCCTTAATCTGATCACCTGGTCTTTGACTGTTGTCTTCCTCCTGATGTGGCTATACAACAGTTTCAGGTCAGTCTTGATTCTCGATGCTATGTCATTTTCATACTGTCGCTGGGCCTCCCTCCTTACCTGTGCATACTCATTCCTGGCTCTGCGACTGATCTCCCTATTTTCGTGTGTTCTCTGCCTTCTGTACTTTTTCCATTCTCTATTGCACTTTGTTTTTGCCTCCTTACACCGTCGGGTAAACCAGGGGCTCGGTCTGGTCTTCCCGTTGTTACTGTTGTCCTTGGGAATAAATCTTTCCACTGCCTCCTTGCATTTTGTTGTTACATATTCCATCATTTCATTTACTGGCTTTCCTGCCAGTTCTCTGTCCCACTGGACCTCCCACAGGAAGTTCTTCAACCCTATGTAGTCCCCTCTTTTATAGTCAGGCTTTTCCCATTCAACTCCTGTTATTCTCTCCACTTGCAGCTCTACTATGTATTCAAAGCACAGAACCACGTGGTCGCTAGCTCCTAGGGGACTCTCATACTTGATGTCCTCAATGTCTGAGCTGCCCAGGGTGAACACAAGGTCCAATCTTGCTGGTTCATCCTCCCCTCTCACTCTGGTAGTGTCCTTAACATGTTGGTGCATGAGGGTTTCCAGCACCACGTCCAACATCTTGGCTCTCCATGTTTCGGGACCCCCATGTGGTTCCAGGTTTTCCCAGTCAATCTCCCTGTGGTTGAAATCCCCCATAACCAGCAACTTTGCTCTGCTGGAGTGAGCTCTTCTTGCCACCTCAGCAAGTGTGTCCATCATTGTGTGTGTGTCTGTGTGTGTCTGTGTGTGTATGTCTGTGTGTGTGTGTCTGTGTGTGTGTGTCTGTGTGTGTGTGTGTCTGTGTGTGTGTGTCTATGTGTGTGTGTTTGTGTATGTGTGCCTGCGTGCCTGTGTGAGATATACATGTATATGTATCTTTCCTCTTTCAACAAACCATCCCTATCTCACCGAGGTAGGGTGGCCCAAAGAGAAAAATGAAAGTTTCTCTTTTTAAATTTAGTAATACATGCAGGAGAAGGGGTTACTAGCCCCTTGCTCCCGGTATTTTAGTCGCCTCTTATGACACACATGGCTTACAGAGGAAGAATTCTGTTCCACTTCTCCATGGAGATAAGCAGAAAAACTGAGCGACATACTCGTTTACCGACCACTCAGACCTACTACTCGTTTACCGGCCACTCAGACCTACAACCAGTATGCAAACCTAAATAATGTATATTAGAGATGATTTCCTCTATTCTGTTTATTACAATATATAGTACACTACTGTATAAACATTTTAAAAAATATACCAGAAATGTTAAAAATGGTGCAAAGGTGACATTAAAAAAATATCTAAAGATGGTTGACACAAACCCACTACCAATATAGTGTACTCCTTGCTTAACGACCAATTCGCTCACTGACCCACTCTTAGGAATGGAACCCTGTTGATAAATGAGGAAAGACTGTATATGTATGTGTCTATGTATGTGAATAAGTATGAGAGAGAGAGAGAGAAAGAAAAAAAAGAGAGAAAGAGAGAGAGAAAAAAAAGAAAGAGGGAGACTGCACTGTTAAGTTTATGAACAGTATATACATACTGTAAATTACCATTATCTTTATGTAATTTTTCTTTTAAATTATAAAGTAAATAACATGACGTATTGTGTGTACGTATATATAAATATGGTTAATGGTGCCAAAACTCTTAACTTGGAAATAGTAAGAAACTTGTTATGCCCTTGCTTGGCCCCGAGGCACTGCTCTGTGAGGCAAGGTGGTGCGTCAACCCCAGACTAAATGTCAGCACGATCTGAACCTTGAGTGTTCGCATCTGAAATAATTATGAACTCCAGGATTAAAGTTACTGGATATATTTTTCTTGAAATATCCAGGTGACTGCAAATCATTTAAAAAAAATTTTATACAGTGGACCCCCGCATAGCGAACGCCTTGCATAGCGAACAATCCGCATAGCGGACGCTTTGTTCGCTAAAATTTTGCCCCGCATAGTGGACAAAAACCCGCTCAGCGGCCTTCGTCCGAGACGCGTCCAATGTGCGGCCTGAGCCACGCTCACATGTGCCGCCGGTGGCATTGTTTACCAGCCAGCCTCCGCGGTAACATCCAAGCATACAATCGGAACATTTCGTATTATTACAGTGTTTTTGGTGATTTTTTTCTGGAAAATAAGTGACCATGGGCCCCAAGATAGCTTCTAGTGCCAACCCTACAGCAATAAGGGTGAGAATTACTTTGGAGATGAAGAAAAAGATCATTGATAAGTATGAAAGTGGAGTGCTTGTCTCCGAGCTGGCCAGGTTGTATAATAAACCCCAATCAACCATCGCTACTATTGGTGGTACAGCTGCTGCTGCTGCTGTACCACCGTCAGCTGCTGCTGCTGCTGTAGTACCGTCTGCTGCTGCTGTAGCATCGTCTGCTGCTGCTGCTGTAGCATCGTCTGCTGGTGCTGTAACATCGTCAGTTGCTGCTGTAGCATCGTCTGCTGCTGCTGCTGTAGCATCGTCTGCTGCTGCTGCTGCTGCTGTAGCATCGTCTGCTGCTGCTGCTGCTGCTGTAGCATCGTCTGCTGCTGCTGCTGCTGCTGTAGCATCATCTGCTGGTGCTGTAACATCGTCAGTTGCTGCTGTAGCATCGTCTGCTGCTGCTGCTGTAGCATCGTCTGCTGCTGCTGCTGTAGCATCGTCTGCTGCTGCTGCTGCTGCTGCTGTAGCATCGTCTGCTGCTGCTGCTGCTGCTGTACCACCGTTGTTGGTGTGGCTTATTGAGAATACCAAGAAACAATTAACCCCAGAGGATTTGCCACCCAGGATAACCCAAAAAAGTCAGTGTCATCGAAGACTGTCTAACTTATTTCCATTGGGGTCCTTAATCTTGTCTCCCAGGATGCAACCCACATCAGTCGACTAACACCCAGGTGAACAGGGAAAATGCCTGGAACTAGTGCTCATATTGGTGAATTTAGAGCCAGCAAAGGTTGGTTTGAGAGATTTAAGAATCGTAGTGACATACACAGTGTGATAAGGCATGTTCTGGAAGAAAATACCAAACAGGACCTACAGTACTCAGGAGGAAAAGGCACTCCCAGGACACAGTGTCTCATCAGTCATTGCTGCATCTTCAATAAAGGTAAGTGTCATTTATTCTTCATTTAGTAGAGTAGTACATGCACAATATATATTGTGCATGTACTACTCTACTGTTGTGCATGTATCCTTCTCTTTGTGTGTGGGAAAATGTCTATTTCATGTGGTAAAATTTTTTTTTTCATACTTTTGGGTGTCTTGCACGGATTAATTTTATTTCCATTATTTCTTATGGGGAAAATTAATTCGCATAGCGAACATTTCGCATAACGGCCAGCCCTCTTGCACGGATTAAGTTCGCTATGCGGGGGTCCACTGTATTCATTTAAGGATTAAATTAGGAAATTGTAATAAATTAGTTTTATACAGTTAGAATAAATTAAGTTATACTTACTGTTTTGTCTTCATTAAACTTAGAATAAAAAATATGAGGTACTTGGTTTTTTCCTCTTAAGTTTTTAATTTTGATCATTAATATTTTTGTGTGGTCCATTACTTTTTATACACATGAAATGTTCTGCATAACTATAGACTTCCCGCATGTATAACTGTCACCCATCTCCATATAAATATTCTTTCATGATGCAATAAAATTATTGTATGTATTATTATTTAAAAAAATAGATCTGCTTAGCATCTCTCACTTGATATCAAGTGCTTAACAATTAACTTACGCAGTAGAAGGGAAGAAGAGGCAGTGTGCTGCGGTGAGGATGTAGTGAGGAGAGATAAGGGTACCACCACAGAAGTACTTGATAGGTCTGTTCCATTTCTTGGTGCCGATGATGGCCTGCCCAGAGGGTAGCATATGTGACCATCAATCTATTTTTATTCAGATAAATGGACAAAGATGCAACTAATGTGACATTTTATTGTGGCAACGTTTTGATCTCCAGGAGCTATAAAGCTCCTAGAGTGTGAAACATTGCCACATTAGTTGCATCTGTGTTCGTATACCTAACATTTTGTCAGTAATTCTAACATTATTACTATCTTTATTCATTATTATAATTTATTTAACATTCATTTTATAATACACTTATTTTAATTTCTTGTTTAAAGTCTTTACTTCCATGTTAATTTTATATCACTGACTGCTAGGACATCCAACATTCTTTCATCCACATTAACTGTGTGCATACACCTGTATACCTTTGATGAGTTTTGAGATTTTTTCTACTCCCAGAGCCTTGGGCCAGGCTTGTTTGGTGCTTGTCTGGTCAACCAGACTGTTGCTGCTGGTGGCCTACTGACCCATATAGTATCCATCACAGCCTGGTTGATCTGGCACCTGTGAAGATACTTGTCCAGTCTCCAACTGAACACTTCTACACTTGCTCCAGGGAAGAGCAGACAGGAGACAACATGCTAGACACAATATATTTTATCCCAGGGAAAAATGGACAGGAGACAGCATGCTAGATACATAATGTGATATTTTTCCCAAAATGAAGTGCAAAGAAACTGACAGTTTTTACCGAATGTGGAAACTCTCCAATATTCGCTTGGGTGCCTCCTACGATGAGTGGCTTAGCGACAACACAGCTCTGGTCTTCCTCCTGCCGCCAGTACCTGCTCCATGCGTCACACACTGTAGTGGAGTTACATTATAAATGAGATGTATTTTTGTGGCTCCATGATCACAGACAGGTATCCCTGTATCTCGTAAGCCCAGCCCCTCCTACCTGAGGGAATGGGTAAAATACAGTTGTAAATTTTATAAGACATTAAATATTGAAGACAGGACACCACAGTTATAAGTTCTATCATTTAATCAGAAGAAAGATGATGATGAATCATCAACAATATTTTGAAGCCAATCAGAATAGGTATTTTTTATAGAATAAAAAAAAATGAATATCACTATTTATTCAAAAATTGACACACTGGGAATTATGCTATCCTATAGCAGCATGAGCTTTGTGTTTAGGATACCACACCACTGGTGAAAATTTGAAGCTGATAAGGTGAGTCATTCTCCAGTTATGGCAAGGATTCCAATAATTACAAATTTTTTTCTTACTAATTTTTTACATTACCAAATTTGCCTCCACACATACAAAACTTAATAGGTACTATCCTCACCCTAATATGTATTAGCTATTAAATACTGAAGCCATTCAGAAGAGGTAAACTGGAAATTATTTAATAGGAATAAAAATTTCCCACTATTTAACACACAAAATTTAAATCTGCACTTACACTGAGTCATCTCCCCCTCAGCAAATTTTTAGGCACTTTTTATGAGCTTTTGAAATGTGTACTAAGGGTTTTGGGGGGAATGTTTTTAAAACTCGGGCCTAGTTGATAGACCTGATCCACCACGGGGTCTGGTCCAAACCGACCCGTAGGGGCATGCCCCCAAAAAACCCTCTCCAGGTATACATGACATGTGGGGAATGCCAACTTTCCAAGCGAAAAATTTAAAAAGATTAGTGAATGTTCTCGAGTTATGAGTAAATAAAACTGAAGAAAAAAAAAGAATTACAATGAAAATGTGCAGGGGTCAAAAACAGTGCTTAATGAATGGGGGGAAAATTAGTTCAATCCGGGAAAGGGTGAAGCTACCTAAAATTCCCCTGGATCAAGAGGCCTTCACAAGCAAGCATCCATGGGTGATTGGGGGTAAAGGGTCAGTGATTGCTAGGGTTGGGGGTGCCCGGGGTGGATCTTTGGTGTGACCCCCAAAAAATTAAGGGGGGGGAAAATGGGGGGGGGGGGTAAATTTCATTTACTCACTACTGCAGGCCAAGTGACTAAGGTTTAGCAATGGAATTTTAAAGGGCCATAAACCAAACGGGAGAAACTCCCAACTTTATTAATGATAAAATATATAATCAACAGTCAACAGACCCTACATTTTTTAAAACTTCAACAATGAAAAAAAAAATTGAAAATAAAGAAAAGCATTCCCAATTACAGAGAACCTAGTCCGTTTCCCCTTGAATCAGGTAAGTCTCTTTGGGGGATCACTTTTCCCTTGCCTATGTTCCTGAAAAAATCATTATCACACATTCAAAATAATGTTTTTCCCCTATATAGGCCCATTTGTATTCTGTAATCACATAAACAGGCTAATAGAAAGAGGATTTTTTTTCTAGTTGCTGACTGTTTTTGGATTAGGTCATGTTCTTTGGGCTCTATGGGGCACCCCTTGATGGGGTTTACCTGGGCGCCCCCCTTCCCCCTTCGACACCACTGGTGAAAAGGGTTATGGTGACACTAATGGTGGTGAGGGTTATGGTGACACTGATGGTGATGAGGGTTATGGTGACACTGGTGGTGGTGAGGGTTATGGCAACACTGGTGGTGGTGAGGGTTATGGTGACACTAATGGTGGTGAGGGTTATGGAGACACTGGTGGTGGTGAGGGTTATGGTGACACTGGTGGTGTGAGGGTTATGGTGACACAGTAGTGGTGAGGGGTTATGGTGACACTGGGTGAAGGTTATGGTGACACTGGTGGTGGTGAGGGTTATGGTGACACTGGTGGTAGTGAGGGTTATGGTGACACAGTGGTGGTGAGGGTTATGGTGACACTGGTGGTGGTGAGGGTTATGGTGACACTGTTGGTGGTGAGGGTTATGGTGACACTGGTGGTGGCAAAGGTTATGGTGACAATGGTAGTGAGGGTTATGGTGACACTGGTGGTGGCAAGAGTTATGGTGATACTGGTGGTTGTGAGGGTTATGGTGACACCAGTGGTGGTGAAGGTTATGTTGACACTGGTGGTGGTGAGGGTTATGGTGACACCAGTGGTGGTGAAGGTTATGTTGACACTGGTGGCAGTGAGGATGGTAGTATTTATGTTTACTATGGCAGCAGAGTGGTGAGGATAATAGTGAGAGTGATGCTGGGGGGTTTATCATGTATGTGATGGGTTCGTCACTTGACCACACTGACAGTTGTGGACAGACATGTCCGGGAAGTTCTGATAAAGTTGAGGTCATCTGCACCAGTGAGTCAGTGATGATGGCGCTCTCTATAACTTAGCTAAAATAGCTACCCATACATCATGAAGATGACATAACAGGTCATGGGTATGACATGACAAGTAATACATCATGGGTGTGATGTTACAGGAAGGGTATTCATAATGGGTGTGACATTATGAAACTAAGCATATTATATATTCTGTACAAGCTCCTCTGCCCTGTAGTTTTTAACATATTATTTATATTGCATTTAAACTACACATTTTTCATTATTTGCATATCCTTTAAATTTTCAGTTATTACATACACTTACATTCTCTGGCGAGGAGGTAAGGTTTCCTGCAGCAGACGTAGACACCGTCAAGGTCGACCTACACAGCTGCACCACACCCTCACGCCTTACCACGCCCCCATCATTCAGGCATGCCCAAACCTCCTCACAATGCCCCAACACACCCCCGCCCATGGTGCACTCCTCTCCTGGAAGCCTGTTGCCATACCTCACTGCCAAAATGTGAGAAGTGGGTGAGAACGGCAGCAGGTATCCCACCGTTGCCACCAGTTTGTACAAGGCCAACAGCTGAGAGCAATGTCCAGCTTTAGTGAATAAGTTGGAAATAGGCAGAGAAAACAAGAGTATCTAGGAATGAGTAAAACTGGAATGGTAAGGTACAGGCAGAGAAAACTAGAATGGTTAGGAATGGGTGGAGAAAACTGAAATAGTAGGTGTGGGCAAAGAAGACTGGAATGGTTGGTAATGATCAAAAAAAAGCTGAAATGGTTGGGATGAACAAACTGGAATATTAGGAACAAGCAAACTAGAATGGTGGGGAATCTGTTAAAAAATGTGGAATGGTTGGAATGGACAGTGTAAATTGAAAATGGACAGGACAATTGAAGGAATGTGCAAGGATAACAAGAGAATGGGTATTGATGGTTGGAAATTAGCAGATACAGGGGACCCTCGGCTAATGAACGCATAGCATAAGGTTAAATCCGCCTTATGAAGCGTTTGAGCATAAAAATTTTGGCATGGCTAACGGTAAAAAACTCGCCCAATGTGATTCGTCCCGAACCTGTCCATCCAGCCTGGGTGCCTCAACTGCCCTGCTGTCATTGTTTACAAGCCAAGGTGGCCGGTTTCATGCACACATTCGATACATTTTGTATTATTCCATTGTTTATAGTGCTTGTAACTGCTGAATAAGCCACCATGGGCCCAAAGAAAGCTTCTAGTGCCAATCCTGTAGTAAAAAGGGTGAGAAACACTATTGAAATACTATCGTAACATGGTCAGCTGCTGCTGCACCACCATCAGCTGTTGCTGCACCACTGTCAGCTGTACTACTCGAAGATGTGGAGAGACTGTTGTTGGTGTGGCTTAACAAGAGACAATTAACCCCAGAGGGTTAGCCACCCAGGATAACCCAAGAAAGTCAGTGAGTCATTGAGGACTGTCTAACTTATTTCCATTGGGGTCCTTAATCTTGTCCCCCAGGATGCAACCCACACCAGTTGACTAGCATCCAGGTGAACAGTAAAAAATGCCTGGAACTAGTGCTCATATTGGTGAATTTAAGGCCAGTATAGGTTGGTTTGAGAGATTTAAGAATCGTAGTGGCATACACAGTGTGATAAGGCATGGCGAAGCTGAAAAATTCCAACCCCAACGATGTTAAATTTTTTGTCGAAACAGGCCTGTTCCGGAAAAAAAAAATCCAAAAGGGCCTACATTATCAGGGGAAAGGCACCCCCGGGGCCCAAAAAGCCTATGAAAGACAGGCTAGCTCTCATGTTTTGTTGTAATGCTAGTGGGGATTGCAAAGTGAAGCCTTTACTCATGTATCACACTGAAAATCCCAGAATCTTCAAAAAAACAGTTTCTCATCATCATAAATACTTTCAAAAAAGTGTCATTTTAACATTTATTTATATAGTTTTGTGAGCTCTTTGTTTTCTTTTGGGGGGGGAAATGTATATTTCATGAAAAAAAATTTTTTTTTTAAAATACTTTTGGCTTTTGGGGAATGGATTAATTGGATTTCCTTATTTCTTGGGGGAAAAAAATTGGGGCTAACGTAATCTTGTTAAGATGAGTTGGGGAACGGATTAAATCGTTACCCAAGGTCCACTATTTTAGGAAAGGGCAAGGTAACGGGATAAATAATTGAAAAAAAAGAATGGAAAAGGAGAAGGGTTTTTAGAAGGGGCAGAGAAAAGGGGAATGGTAATAAGGGGTGGAATGATTTAAAGGGAATACTATTTGGGAAAATGTCAGTAAAAGATGGGTAGGAATGGCGTTAAGGAGCCCCCACCTGCTTCAGTATAAAAAACCACTTCTCTATGCATTGGTTTATTTTCTCAAGATGGGTTGAACACATAAACTCAAGGGTAGGGAGATTACTTCACACGTCATTTTTTCCCAATTCATCTTTGTCCCGATGAGGAGTCCAATTGTTGGCAAAAATGTTTCCACGATAAAAATTCCCAAACATTGCAAAAAATTTTAATTTATATATATTATATATAATATTAAAATTTTAAAATATATATAATTATATTATATAATATATAATATTTTTATATATTAATAAAATATATAGTGTACAAAACTGTACAACATACATATATAGTGTACATTACGTACATACATACATTTATAGGTAAACATAAAATGTACATACATACTAATAGTGTAATTTAAACTGTACATACATACATATTGAAACATTACATACACACTCTTACCCTCAGTGGGGCCAGGAGTGAAGGTGAAGAAAAGGTGAGGAGCAGCAACATGCTAATGCAACAGTAAGTTCAACACTAAAAAAACACCAAGACCCCAGTTATTTTCCTGCCTCTCCCACCTCACCACATGTCCATCAGTCACGTGGGAATAATTTTTTGGTCCCCCTAAAAAAAAGTCACATTGACTTTACTGAATCATCTGGTAAAAAGCTGATACATAATCTACTTATTTTATACCTTTATATCTGTCAATTCAAATCATTGTAAAATAAGTTGCTTTTATGTATGCAAAGTCTAAGAAAATTTTCTTATTAAATGTAGAGATAACTAGTTTTAAATTAGTATATTAAAGTAAAGCCTAAACCGTATAGGGCCACGAGCATTGGGAAATAGGTGATCGGGTAGATTTGGGAGAGTGAGGCTACAGTTCTAAGATCAAGACCCAAACACGGCAGAAAGGGCATTTCCCTTTTAACCCCTTTGATGTTTGGGTCGTATATAACATTTACGAGCCACCAGTTTGACGTTACAACACAGGTAGAATAAAACAGAACACAAGTAGACAGACACACAGGAAAAAAGAAAAAAAAGAAAGACCCTAGCAAAAAAAAAGGTGACAAAGACAGAGGTAGATTTTAAAGACAGACACCAGGTAGACATAGCACGGTAGACAGACAGATAAAACAGAACCAAGATCCAGATATATGGCGACAGATACAGACAGGGGTTTTTGTGCAACAGTGAAAACAAATGGGGTTCGAGAGTAAGAGCCTTTTTTGCCCCAAACTCCAGTGAAGTTCAGGACGTCTCTTAGGGGGGGGGTGAAATTTACTGTCCCGTTAGTCAGTTAATACAGATGATTTTCTGCTGTAGGGAGGGTTTTTCAAACTGATCTGCCTGCTGCACATTGCCCCCACGAGTATTGTCAAATATTGTACAGTGGTTGCATTTAGCCGCCCAGCCCAGGCCAGATCACGGTCGTAAGGAGTGGGGCGTATGTCGGAGGTCTAAAATCGGGGTGGTGGGTATATACTCATAATTTAGTGGCTTAAATAGGCAGGAGAAAGCTGGTAGGACCAAATGTGAAGAATGGGTTGTTGGGCGTGTGCACCCTATAAAAAAATCCGCGCACGCAGTGCATTGAGAAAAAAAAAAATCCGACCTTTTTTTTAATTAAAATGTGACTTTTGGGCTATTTTTGTATAGTATTTATTTGTATTCTCATTTTTTGCCTTTATTTGTAGAATGGAAAACATATTATAAAATAGAGGTGACTTTGACTGGTTTTACTATAAAAAAAAAACCTTGAAAAAGGGGCTCAAAGTGGGAAATGTTTTGACTTTTGCCCCAAAGTTTAAAAATAAACAAAAGTCATTTTCCCAAAAAATGTCCCCCAAATAGCCATTCTAATAGCTTTTATGAAAGGGTTGACATATATTTTTTACAATTATTACAAATTGCAGTAGTCTGAAACAGAAATCTTCTATTTTTTGTTTGAATAAAATTAAAATAGAAAACAAGGAATTCAGAGGGGCCTGAGACGTTACTGTGAAAAAAGAAAATGTTAGTTTAGAGCCAGGAATGTCTGCATTTTTCATTCTGGACCCCATTTTTTAAATTTCTATTTTTTAATTTTTTGTGAATTGGCCAAATTGCAAATTTTGATTTTGTTTTGGGTAGTTGAAATCAGTAAAAGGCGTTTCTTGTTTCCCGTCGATAGAAAAAAAGGAGTTCTAAAAAAATGCTATTATTTGGGGATTGGGGCAAAGGTTTGCCCAAAATAGGGGTCAAAGGGGGGGCAAAAAACACCGATTCGTAAATATGCCGAGGTCGTAAATTGCGAGAGCTAAAAACGTCAGTTTTCATAAAATTTCTTTTTTTTGGTGCATTACAATCGGAAAAAAAATCTCTATCATTCATAAGAATTTTTTTTTTTTTTTTTGAAATTTTGTGCACCAGGGACACCTCAGGGTTTGGGTTGTGACAGTCTGGGGGTTAATGCTGCCCCATTTACTGTGTGGATTTGTGCCCTTTTACTTAATCTTGAAAGCGATGAAAAAAATGCCAAATTTGTTAGTTTCAGTTTTTTTTTTCCAAAACTATGCTCTGCATATCCCCTAGAACACAATACTTTCATAATATCACCATTATTTCTCCATACCTGATTTCTCATGGGGAAATAACCAACCTTCTTTACAGGGAAAAAACAACCGGGTTTTGTCTATAACTTCACACTTTGGCCGTTTCCCTTTAGACAGGGCGACCCGAAAAAGAAGAAACACTTTATCATCATCATGGGGCCAGAAGCTGTCATTCGGACCCCTGAAACCACCAAAAAAGTAAGTCTACGTTTTGCGGAGGCCAGGCAATACCCCCAGTTCAAAAACTGCAACATATCTCTACCCCTCCTTTAGAGTGCAGGCACTGTAATTCCCACCTCCAGGACTCAAGTCTGGCTAACTGGTTTACCTTAATCCTTTCATAAATGTTACTTTGCTCACACTCAACAGCATGTTTATTACTGTGGTTTCAGATTTATATGGTATTTCTCACTGGTTGAATTCCAACTCATTGGCATAATGAAGATGTTCATTTCCAGCACTTGGGTCTTCAAGGAACTTTGAGATTATCCTCACAAATATCTTTTATGCTTTGTATCAAATTTTGCAATGACTGGGCTGAATTCCAGCTCCTAGGAATTCTAGGGTACTGAGATGCAGCTAATGACAAACTGTATGAAGAAAGTCTTACTTCACCAATCTTCTCTCACTCTGAAAAAGGTTATGATGTGACCTCATACAATCCTTAAAGACATTAAACAAGTTCCACATAAACAGATCTGAAGATAAATTAGACACATGTGCAACTCTTGGGTATCTTTATTGAGGAAACGTTTCGCCACACAGTGGCTTCATCAGTCCATACGTAGGAGAAACTTGAAGAACAGGAGGAGAATGAGGTAATCAGTCCCTCAACCTTGAGTCGATGTGTTCAGTCCATCAATCTTGAATAGAATACGGCATATCAGCGGAGAAGCAGCTTATAAACCATATGGCAGGAGAGGTGCAGCAGTCATAGGTCGTGTCACATTTGTTCAATGTGGAAGTAGGTCGTGCCCAAGAATTAGGCAAGTCTAATTTATCAACATGTCGGTTCTCTGAACCATTCATCTACAAATTTGTCAGACACTGCAACTTCTTAGGATCTTAATACTTAGGAATTCTTCGCTTGCCTAATTCTTGGGCACGACCTACTTCCACATTGAACAAATGTGACACGACCTATGACTGCTGCACCTCTCCTGCCATATGGTTTATAAGCTGCTTCTCCGCTGATATGCCGTATTCTATTCAAGATTGATGGACTGAACACATCGACTCAAGGTTGAGGGACTGATTACCTCATTCTCCTCCTGTTCTTCAAGTTTCTCCTACGTATGGACTGATGAAGCCACTGTGTGGCAAAACGTTTCCTCAATAAAGATACCCAAGAGTTGCACATGTGTCAAATTTATCAACATGTCGGTTCTCTGAACCATTCATCTACAAAAGGTCTGAAGATCTTTCTGAAAGGCAATGTAATACTATTACACAAAACAACAGTGTTAAACTCCATGGTAAGAGGTTGAACACAACTGTGGGTATGGTTCTTTTGCAGAGTTATGGTGAACTGCAAGTCTTTCCCCTAAGTTATTAAGTGGGGATATTGCAATCTGGAGGGGTATCTGAGTTGCAATGTTGGTATGTCCCTGGAAAGACACTGATAGAATGAGTGATGTTGAATTAGACACATGTGCAACTCTTCGGTATCTCCTTTGTATGGACTGATGAAGCCACTGTGTTGCGAAACGTTTCCTCAATAAAGATACCCAAGAGTTGCACATGTGTCTAATTCAACAACATGTCGGCTCTCTGAACCATTCATCTAGAATGAGTGATGGTGAAAGTGTTTCTTCTTTTTTTGGGATCACCCTAACTTAGTAAAAGATGACCGGTGTGTTAAAAACATATATTTTTCTTACCTGTTTCAAGCTGACAGTTTACTTAAAGTGGAGTGAGATCGTCCTTCTTCTTCTTAAGGATTCTTGCCTTAACAATGCAGATAATAGTAGATAGTCCTCTGTAGATAACCTCAGTATGTACTGTGAAGTCTATTGTTATCTGCCTTTCTCATGTACATCCAAGTACCTATTTACTGCTAAGCAATTATTACACTCACAAAAAATGGTAAACTCGTAATAGTGATGCAGCACCCAGTTAATGGCAGATAATCAGGTTTGCTCCAAGGAAGAGGAGAGCAGCTCTTATTTTTTGGATCAAGAGCTCTTTCCCCTGTATCAAGGCACTCTCTCCCCCCCTCTCCCCAAATTCACATCCCTTGTAAAGCACAAACAGGCAAGCAAGGGCACAGATCCCATTAACAATACAATATCAATAATATTACTACACTCACATTGTATGGCTACCTAAATCTTTTCAACATTTTACAAGGTCAGAGCAAGAATGACCTTTGTGCATTTAGCACTTAGTTTTGATTGTAATAATAATAATAATAGAGCAAGAACTATGTTTACATAAGAAGCCCATCTCATAGGAATGATTCTTAAGCCATACTCCAGCTGGTGTAAGGACTTACCCACACATTAACCCATCAGAATTAAACCCTTGTCTTGTGGTTATATGCTAAACATGCTATTACTTAGCTAAAAGGAATCATGCCATCAACAATTAGGGCTATATTTTGAATAATTTTAAAGCATATTTATTATTTTAATTAGGGGTAAGCAACAGACCCGTAGGAGTCATATAGCACCAGAGGAATGGCCAGCATTAAGCTGATTTTTAAAGGATACATTTGCTGGTATAACCACAACTGATACTTATTTACCTTTTTTTCAAGTATATTTTATTTTTGTATATTAATTTTACCTAAGTGTGCAGGTTTTGATATAATATTCAGCGTCCATCTCCAACAGCAAAGAGTTCTTCATGAGCGTCAAGACACCCTATTACAAGGATCCTGATTCAACACTGTCGTCTTCCATTCTATGT